CGTACCGTACGCCATGTTGGTTTAGCAAATTTTGTGAAACCTGGAGTCGAGGATAATGTAACAAAATATATAATGTGACTTCAAGATAAGGTTAACGTTTCTTTAATCTCGAGAAGATGATTTCGTCGATTTCCTGAAAGTCGAGATAGAGCTCGAACGGATCAGAAGGGATTAATGTTTGATCGGTTCTATTTAAGGCCGGCAACAAATTCGATTCCCTCGATTTATCATTCTTAATTCGAAGCTTCTGCCGTTTGCTATCCGGACTAACCGTGTCTGCGATTTTCTTGATTCTTTTAACCAACTTCGTTCCCCGCTTTGGCCGGGCTCGGTACCGACTGTAATTGATATCACCTTGCTATTCTCGTACACCGAGTAACTCGTTAAGGGCATCAAGTTCCAGACTTTAACGAGACTAAACAATTCAGCAACTGGATTTCGACGTAAACTCGTTCACGAAGGTCGCGAGTTCGGGTACGAAAGCGCAGAGTTACAAGTGCCAGGCAAGAGAAAATAGTACGAGTGCAAAACTTCACTAAGCCCACGATACAAAGATTCACAGTTGAATTCAAAGTTTGAATAAAAATTAAATTTGATTGATTTCGTTGGTGACAACAGTCTAAACGTTTGAAAAAATTAGTGTTCGCGTGCCCTGAACGGATCGAATGCCACTCCGGCCGAAACGCTTAACACATCGAGCTACGATTCCGAGCGGCGATCTATGCTTTTCGGTCCGGCGATGCGCAATTAATCATAGTTGTCTGTAGCAAAGTGTTCGTTACTTGTTCCGTGTAATTAAAATTAATAATGGCCGTTTGTAATATCACCGACTGCGCTCCGACTAACTAATTGTTCGTGATGCATTGTTTCGCTGCATCCAGTTAGTCGTTAAAGCTCTTCTAGTGCCTTCGTCGTAAAGGGTTGGCCCGTTTCTCTGTGCGTCCCTTTCAGACGGTCGGTCGCTCCTGTCTCCCTGGGCGTCTCGCCACCCTTTGTCCGAACACTTGGTCGGAAATTTCTGGAATTGTATCTCGAGAAGCAGGATTTCTCCTCCCGTGAAGTTTGCCCGGGATTGCGTCACGCCTACGCGCCAACCCTGCACCGCGCAAACGTCAAACTTCACCGTGCGCTACCACTTTTGGTGCCACAGGGAAACGCTGCGCGCCAAACGTTGTTTACTACCAGTTAGGCAACATTTTTACTATTTGTTCTATTTCATTTCCTGTCAAAACTTGGGCATATTGACCCCTTGCAACGTTGAACTGTGCAAAGATCGTGAGTTGCCAAGAGGTCACAAATTTGGCTTCTTGCAATCCCACTGCCTCGATATTCACTCTACCACTCGATAATAAAAATCCTCTTGGATAGAGTTAACACATCTGATTCGACTCGTCGACAACTTTCGATCCGTGCACAATACATCTTCGCGAAAAGGAAGCTTGATGCCATATACAGACGCATAAAAAATACGTAGAAGAGGAGAGCCAGTGTACTGTGTAAAGATCATAAGTTGGCAAGTAGACACAGATTTGGGTTCTTGCAATCACACTGCCTCGATATTCACTCTACCACTCGATAATAAAAATCCTCTTGGATAGAGTTAACACATCTAATTCGACTCGTCGACAACTTTAGATCCATGCACAGTACATTTTCGCGAAAAGGAAGCTTGAAGCGATATACGAACGCATAGGAAGTACGTGGAAGTGTTTATGGCTCACGGGGCTAGTTTTAAATAAACAAATTAATATTAAACGGACCCGTTCCCCGTCGTCGGAATTCCTCGATGCAAGACGTCTCGCGGCGAGACTGGTTGGGCGGTCGAGCAGCTTTGTTTACGGTAAAGTTACGCTCGCGGTGCAAGTTCAGTCGAGTTCCCCCGTGTCATTGGCCTTGCACGGCGTCGTCGTTCGCGACGAATTGCGAGCGAGGAAGCGTGTACGGCGCAGAAGTAATTACCGAAGCGACGGAGAAACGCGCGTCGTGGATGGCGCGAGCGGCTTCCTGGCCGGCGGTAGTTCGCAAAAGTTCCCTGAATGGGCTCCGGGAGGAGCGCTAATTATTGTTCCCCATAATGCGGCCAAATCCCTTCGAGTTTCGCGCGACTGTGAATTATTTTTGAAAGGGTGACGAATAAAAGCGAATTCCGCGCCGGAGAATGCCTGAACTTTGTTCGGTAACATCGCGGCGTCGTTAGGCGATATTCCGCGTCTCCGGATTCCGTACTTTTCCTAGACGCCCAAGTTCCGCGACGACGAAAAGACCTCGCATTTTCGATTACGCCAGCCCTTCGCGGTCGAGGGCACCCGGATCTGGGCGGAAATTATCGCGATTCTTGCGATTCGAATTTAAAGAAAAGAATCGTTTGTCTCGATTCGTGGAAATACAGTTTGGGAGGACAAAAATATTTTTTAAAGGGTGATGGAAAGTTGGACGTCGTTAGAGCGAGTTCCTGTTCGACGAAAACGAACGAAAATGAGAAACCGTGCTCCAGTTTCCATTCGGTTCGCGGCGACGTCTTCGTCCGCGTCGCGGATAAGGCGCGCCTTTATCGCCGCGGCGATACGTTTCGTCCTCAATTTTCCGCGATATTGCGCGGCGAAACGGGCGGGACCGCACTCGAGAAAATCCTTTTTGTTCCCGCGATACGCTAATACACGTATCCGGTCCCGCTGGCTTTCAGCGGAGCTCGTCGCGCGTAAAAGGAACGGGGATCCCCGGCGTTTATTGCCTCCTCGGAGATTGTTGCCGGGCGAAACGCAAAAATGGTGAAGAGGTCTTCTCGTAAGCCGTGTAACCCCGCGACTATTTGCGTTTCGCCGGGCGAAGTGTACCCGCGGATGATGCACTTTTCGTGCGGACACTTTCCCACCGAGCCACGGTCTCCACGGGCGCCCGGAACGCTAAGTAAAAGCAGTTTACGGAAACTTTTTGGCACGATTGTTCCCGGTACGCGGATACTTGGACGTGGATGGAAAATTTCGCGGAAAACAACGTTGGGATCTCGCGAATGAATCGGAATAAAATTGGTCGGGCGAGAGATCAAAGATCCGCGTTTCAGCGTGAAGCGTGACCCGATTTGGCCACGCGCTGCTTACGATCGAAGTCGGACGAGACGCGATCTAATTTTCCACGATACGGTTACGCGTAATCGCGTTGTAATTACATTGTAATCGCACGGTAATTATCGTCGCGGTGCGATCGTAATCGTAGTTCTTCGGAGCGTGTAATATCTGGTTCATTGTCTTGCAATTACCGCGCGATTACGGGTCAATTACGATGCGATTTTACGTAATCGTGTCGTTCCCACTGCGCTCCTGTACTCCCCCAACATGAAAGTTGGTCCAAAAATAAGAGCGCAGCGTCGTTCGACACGAAGCTGGTATCGAGCACCGAATAAAAATTTCTACCAGCTGCCGCGTTTAAAACAGCGCTGTTTACATCCGCTCTATCTTTAACGCGAAAGTAGTTTGGTGGTCGGGGAACGACTCGAGAGATTCTTGTCCAAATACGAGAAAGCAGCGGTGTTTGAACCGTATGAAAAAACAATAAGCGTTCGTACGTGAATGTTAAAAAAAAATTGGTAGGCTCGACGTCGATCGATCGCGTTCGAAGGGAGAATGGCGTAACAAAGAGTCCGGAAAAACGAGAGCGAAAGTCCCTGTCGCGAGTCGATCCGTCGCGGGGAATAATCAGCGTCCGCGCGCGACCGATACGACTCCATTTTTCCATTTGCAGCCCCCCGTTTCTTTCGACGCCTAACCCCTGCCACGTTTCCCGACGGTCCAGCCCGGTACGTTCGAAGGCACAATTGCCTGGTCGCGCGCGCCCAGTGCAGGTGGTTCGTGAAAGTTGCATGAATGGAATGAAAGAAACGGAATGGAAGAGGGAATTGGGTAGATATATCGCGGAGAAAGAGAGGCGGTCGAGGGGGAGGGGGGCAGACAGAATGATAGATGTCCAGATAGATAGATGGATGGATCGGTACGGAGAGAGAAAGAGAGAGGCGGAGGTGTCGGTGGAAATAAATCACGCGCGGCAGAGGAATTTACTTGAACGCGCGATTGGTCGTTGCCGGTGGCGATAATCGACGTTCGTGATACTTCGCTGGAGAAGCTCGAACGTTTGCTCGAGGTGTATCCTCGTGATTTTGACGAGCGAGAACGGGACGAAGGGAGGCAGAGGTCGAGATGGAAACGGCGTGAAAAATACGAGTTTGCTGACGCGCGTCGGCAACGGGCCGTTCTAATTCGCGTCGATTCGCGCTGCACAGCCGCCGCGTTGTTCCTGACAGCTTACACGTATACGCGGAGATTTCAAAATAAAACCGTCAGTCGGAGGAATTTCCTGCGTACGGACCGACGCGATACGATCGAGCAGACGCTCGTAAACCGTTAGTTTCAATCAACGGGGTAAACGGTTTTCTATCCGAACCCCTGCCTGCTCCAATTCTCGTACTCTTGCCGATACACGGGCCGCGTATCAAGTGGGGAAAAACCTTCCCGGACCTCCAGGAGCTTAGGAATTCCGCTCGCGGCGCGACTACGTCGAAAAATACTCAGACCGCCCGAAACTCTGGATCAGAAGTCCTCAAAATGGTCCGGAATACGAAGATTTTCATGGCCGTCTAAACGTGCTCTTATATCGAAAAATGTTCCTTCGAGATCAGTATGTTGCTGTGTAATAATGTTTGAATAAAGTATTATTTCACCCACGAAATTGAATATATTTTCGAGGGAAAAGGTTCCCCGAAGATCGACGGGTCAGAGTTTAGCAACGTTTACCGTAAAACCTCGGTGATATCGGTTTCTCGAGAGAAATTCTAAGCATGCAGGGAACGGGTGAGAATGAAAGGATTAGGTTCCAAGCTCTGTTTAGAGGAATGCAATCCGCCGCTCGTGCCTTCTGTTCCGATCAAGGTGAACGAGAACGGGATGCGTGAGCGGTCACGTAGGTCGATACGATTGAAAAGCACCTGCGACTTTTTTCTACTGTTCCAGGTGACTTCTCGTTGCACATATACCCGGTGGAACTGGAGGACGACGGCACGTACCAGTGCCAGGCCTCGCCCACGAACGACGGCCAGCCAGCGTTACGCTCGAGATTCGCCAAGCTGAGCGTCCTTGTGCCGCCTCAGAAACCGAAGATCCTTCAGGGCGACTTCTCCATCACCACCGAGGACCGGGAACTGGTGATCGAGTGCGTCAGCGTCGCTGGCAAACCGCCTGCGGAGGTAAGATTCTCTATTCATCTTACGAGGAGGAGGGGAGGGCTTTGAATATCCGAGTGGTTTCGAGATCCCTTCGCGGATTCGAGATATTTTGTGTTTCGTTCCAGCTGGCCCGCGTCGATTTGGCCATGCCTTATCTACGATGGCTACGACCTACGAAAATCTTATTCATCGACCCGGATAAGGGAAACAACTCCCCCCCGGGGAAAATGCATTTACAAATTGTCGCGCATACCCTCTGTCCAAACAGTCTCCAGGCTGCAATATCTTGCAGGAATATTTATCTGACGTTTGTACTTGCGAGAAAAGTACAGGTTGAGACCGGTGATTTTGGAATTATTTGATGCTTTAATAACGTTCGAAAAAATCTGCCATCCAACGGGAGGGAATATTTTGACGGATATCGACCGAGGAGGCTCGACGGTTTCTAAAAAAAAAAAACTGTTGGAAGGATGGACGGAGCGAACCTGTTTGCCAACGAATATCTGGTTCATGAACGTTACAAAGAAATTCAAGCGTAATTTAAAGCCGCGAACGCCAACGAGTCATTAACGGGGAGCTAAGGGCCGAATAGTCCGTCCATGAAACGAGAACTAATTTAAAAACGGAAAGGTCGTGGTTGGCAACGTAAACGATGTAGCGCCCGAGGGCCGCAATAACGCGTTAAACCGTATTACGTCGGACACAGAGTTACCGCGCGAAAGCTCTGTCCTCTACGCGCGGCGTTGACAAAGGGCCGCGTTTGTTTCCCTCGCGGTGGCTCCGGGAAATATTCTTCAAACGCCTCGCGTACGACGTAGCGCCGGCTGCGGTGTACGCTACGCGACGAGAGCCACGGCGATGCTTTTTGGTCGATGTTTTGGCATTCGTCTCCGGGCGGCGACGTGACGACGAAAAACGCTTTTAAAACCAGGCAGAAGCGTAGTCGACGAAATGGCAGCTTGACCGAGTTCGGATACGCCTCGAGGCCCCGAACGACCGCGACGCTGGAAAAAGGGAAAAACCACGGATCTTTGAGGATCGCCGCGGACTCCGCGTTGCATCGCGGGGAAAAAACGCGGATAAAAGGACCGTGCTGGAGGGGGGTGAAAAAAGTCCGTTGCAACGACCAACGTCGAGCTTCGATTCTGCCCGTCTTTGTCTATTTACTTTTGCGACCAGAGATGTTTTTCCACGCACGTACACGACGCGATGAAACGACAGCCAGCGAACGCTGCGAGTCCCTTTCAATCCCGTCCAGGCACGATGCCATTTGAATAATGGTATCGTTAATCCCTTAGCAACGAAGTGCTCTGCGTACTTGATGGACCGGTGATGCGTTATCGCGACGGCGTACCGGCGATCGAATTATCGAACGCGACGTTTCCGAAAGATGCTCGATTAACCGCTGCGCTCCAGAATTTTGGCACGTAGAACCCTACGCTGAGATGCGGTTTTTAATTTTTATCTCTAAAGAATGCCCCTATAAAATGGGATTCACAAATGTAAAAATATTGTACGAACTATGAGCCGGGAGTGAAGATTTCTAGATCGATCGACTGAGATTTTGATCTTTGCTATCGTAACTACTGTCTTACGTTGTTAGAAATTCAGAATATTATTTTATGCTACTCTAATGTGGAGAAAAGATTTTTGTTTTCGGGAAAATCGAGTCTAAGGAATCGTGTGTGACTATTCGACTATTCGCTTCTTCCTAGAGAATAGTCTAGCTTCACCCTTGAGAAACATTTGAATGAGAGATTCTAGAGGCCAAAATAAGACGAAAATCAAGAATACCAATTTGTTGATTGAAGCTTCGTTGAAAAATTAATAACTTTTTTAAATTTGTTCAATTTGTCTACCTACGCGAATTTTTATCTCGAAAGTGTGTAGGAATTCGAGGGTATGTCTATTCACCAAAAATGATTGAAATTGACCCCTGCAATCAAAAATAATTTTTTCAGAACAATTTGAAATTTTTTTTTTCGGCGACAAATTTAGGCACCTACCTCATGTCGATTTTTCTTAGAAACTCGTTTTTCGCTCTACAGAAAAGTTGTTTTCTACTTTTTTGTAGGTATCTATGAACTCTAGTTCCTCCTAAAATTTCAATGAGATATATTCACTATTATAGGAGTTATAGTCGTTTGAAAGTTGGACCACTTTTATGGGGTTTTTCTTAGTTTACGGGGTCAAGGAACAACATTTTCAATATTGTTAGAATTTCTACATATTCTGCGTCAAAATACGCGTCAATTGCATTTTGAAAAATTGAAATCGTCCAATCCGTTCGGAAGTTATGGCGTTCTAAAGGTACGCACGAAATTTAAGGGAAAAATTCGATATATGGTCAGGCATTTTCGGTAATTAATTTTTTTCTCGAAACTGCGTAGAAATTCGGGGGTATGTCTATTCACCAAAAATGATTGAAATTGACCCCTGGAACCAAAAATAATTTTTTTAGAATGATTTGAAATACTTTAATTTTGTCGAAAAATTCCTGTACCTATTGAATTTTTTTCTCGAAACTGTGTAGGATTTCGAGGGTATGTCTATTTACCAAAAATGATTGAAATTGACCCCCGCAACCAAAAATAATTTTTTTAGAACGATTTGAAATATTTTAATTTTGTCGAAAAATTCCAATACCTACACGAATTTTTATCTCGAAAGTGCGTAGGATTTCGAGGCTATGTCTATTCACCAGAAATGATTGAAATTGACCCCCGCAACCAAAAATAATTTTTTAGAATGATTTGAAATATTTTAATTTTGTCGAAAAATTCCAATACCTACACGAATTTTTATCTCGAAAGTGCGTAGGATTTCGAGGCTATGTCTATTCACCAGAAATGATTGAAATTGACCCCCGCAACCAAAAATAATTTTTTAGAATGATTTGAAATATTTTAATTTTGTCGAAAAATTCCAATACCTACACGAATTTTTATCTCGAAAGTGCGTAGGATTTCGAAGCTATGTCTATTCACCAAAAATGATTGAAATTGCCCCTTGCAATCAAAAATAATTTTTTTAGAATGATTTGAAATATTTTAATTATGCCGAAAAATTACTGTACCAACTGAATTTTTTTCTCAAAAATGGTTAGGATTTCGGGGGTATGTCTATTCACAAAATATGATTAAAATTGAACCCCTCAATCGAAAATAATTTTTCTACAATGATTTGAAATTTTTTTTTTCAACGAAAAATTTTCCGATCGATATGGAACTTTAGACGATAATAACTTTTTAACGAAGCCTCAACCATCAAATTGGTATTCTTGATTTTCGTCTTATTTTGGCCTCTAGAATCTCCTATTTTTCCCAGAGGTGGCCCAATACCCTGTATAACAGGATCTAATGTATAAATTCGTAATATAAAATAAAAACTTTCCCTATACCGAAAAAAAGCTGTTGATTAAGGGTTAAATAGAAAGAGGTGGATGATGAGACTGTTCAGTGTGCACGAAAACAGTTTGGAGAAAGATCTTGGACGATAGCATCGTCGTTATCGGTGCGTTGGAAATTCCATTTGGCGACGCGATCCCTGAAATCCGACGGGATTCTAATTTCATCCCGGGGAGGAAAGGAGGGGGCTTATTGAATCGATGACGTAATAAACAGCGGTGCGCGGGGATATCGATGATGCGTCGTTAATGCGCGGGCCGATTCGCGACACCGCGAACAATTTCGCGGCGAGCGGGCTCCGGCCGCTAATTCACCATTCGTTCGGATCGCGTTGCGGTCGCGATTGCATTCGTTAATACAGAAATCCGTTTTCGATCGCGTCGCGCGCGCAGGGGGGTGCCTTTCGGCCTAGATAAATAACGAGTCGCGGGGATGGTTGACGACGCGGGAAACCCGTCGAAAAATTAATTAAATTTGTTTCGCGGCCGTTCGACGCGCCGCGGTCGCGCGCGGTTTTTAATTAAAATTACGCGCGAATCCCGCTGATTAATACCGTTACAACCCGGGAACCGTTGGTCGCTCGGGCACGGTGGAAACCCACGCTCGAAACGGCGGCGAACGTTTCACGCTCGAGCAAAGGGGTGAACGAGAACCGATCCTCGGTTCGATCGAGGGGGCGAGTTTCTTTCGCGAGTCGTGCGCGATACGTACCGTATTCGGCGATCGAACGGTCTGCCGCGCGGGATTCAATTATCACCGCCCACTATGCTATCGTTTGCTCGGCCATCCGATCGACGCTTCTCCGGTTTCATAAACATTATCGTCCGTCCGACGACGAAAGCGTGAAAACGATCGTACGAGTATCAGGTTTGAACGAGCTTCTACGCGATGAACCACGGTACCACCGTACCTCGAAACCACCTCGAGCACGAACGACCGTCGGAATTTCAACCCCGTGGTCCGGGCTAACTTCCAACCGGTTTATAAATTAAACAAGACGGGTAAATAATCCACCGACGGGCTACTTGACGCAATAGCTGGCTGGAGAACTGAAAATTCTGTTACCGCACGTTTTATAAAATTATTTTTAACCCTCAAGTGGGGCTCTCAATCTCGACCGAATTATTTTTACCAAATTGGTAAATGGAAATCAACTCTCCTTTAAAGCGTTTAAAAAGTAATGAACTAATGGAGGATTACATAAATTTTCAAATAATCCACTTAAAGCAACAGCAGTGGATACGAGACAAGGGGCAATATAGAACAAGTGGTGAAATGGAATATGTCCCCGGTTTAAATTTTACACTCTAACTAATTACGTCGTAAATTTATTCAGAGGGCCAGCTTCCAACAATTTTTAATGCTGGGTTAGCCAAAGGACTCTGTGAAAACGGGTACTTTGCGCCGTTCCAAAGTTCGATCACGGGGTCAAAGGTGCCCCGACCATCGTAGCGGGAATGAAAGCGGCAAAGGGCACGGGCGGGGTTTCTTTGTCCGAGTTTCCAGCAAACGTTTCGCGGCTCGGGAATTATTTCGTTGCGTCCAGAAACGGAGCAAAAACCGCGGTAATCAACGCCAGAAGGTAGATCGTTTCGCGCACGGTCCATTACAGCG